ACGTAAATGAGAACACCAAAAAGAAAGGATGCGAGAAACCACAATTAGAACTAAAATGAAAACGAGGACGACAACTAAAAAGTGAATGAAAAGTTGAATTATAATGAGGATGAGAACGAGAACGGGAAAGAAAACTAGAAGAAAACGAAAGAAACATAATCAGAACGACAAAGAAAACAAAAATGCGAACTAGGATGAGAATGAAAATAAAAACAAGAGCGTAAACGAGAACGAGGAGAACTAAAAAATAAGAAATAAACGACGACAAGAAGGAAAATGAAAACAAGAGTGACAATGAAAACTAAGATAAAAATGAAAATGAGAACAAGAATCAGTAGGAAAATTAAAACTAGGATGCCAACGATAACGAGCAGAAATATGACAAAAGGTGAACTACTTATAAGGACGGAAAAGAAAATGAGAAAAGAAACGAAAATGAGAATAAGAATGAGAACGGGGATGAAAATGGGGTTGAAAAGGAGAATACGGCTGAAAATAAAAACTACGATACGAACTAGAACGGGAAAAAAGATGATAAGGTAATCTAAAAGATGAAAGAGCAAAGACAATAGGGACGGAAATAAAAACAAGAATGAGGGAGAATGGGAAAAATCAGAATTACAACTAGAATGAAGGTGGGTATGAGAATGACAACGAAAATGAGGACGAAAATTAGGATGCGACCAAGAACGAGAACGAAGATGAATTAAAAGAATGACGAGAAGAAGAACGAAAACAGGATTGAGAGTAAGGTAGATACGAGGATGAAAATGTGGCGAAAATGAGGATGACAATGCGAATGACAACAAGAATGTGAAACAGGAGTACGAGAAGGACAACGAGAATAACGAAAATGAGAACGAAGAGGGAGAAAAAATGAAAACAGAACCAGAGCCAGAATGAAAACCATGAACCAAAATTAAAATGAGAAAGTAAATGAGTAGGAAAATGGGAGCTAGGATGTGAATGAGAAGAGAGAAGAAAGAAGATGAAAAGAAGATAATCTAAACAAACGAAAAGGCAAATAATAATAAAATGAGAACTAGAATGAGGAGGAATACGAGAATTCAGAATCAGAACAAAAATTAAAAGGGGAGTGAAAACGAGAACAAAGTTGAGAAGGAGGGTGAAAATGAGGATGAGAACGAGAGTGAGAACTAGCATGCGAATTTGCAAGAGAAGAATTAAAACAGGAACGAGAAGGGAAAAATCTTGACACCGGAGTCAGAATGAGAATAAAATCGAGAAATCAGAATCAAAATGAGAATGAAAACTAAAACGAATATCGGACGACGATGAAAATGAGCATGAGGATAAGAATGTGAACGACAATGACAAGTAGGATGCGAATGAGAGCAAGGAATAAGAGAACGAAAATTAGAGCTAAAAGAAGAACGAGAATAAAAACTAGGATGAGAACGAGAACGAGAAGGAAGATGAATTAAAAAAATTGACGGGAAGGAGAATGAGAATAAGAATAAGCAGGAATAAGAAAAATCGGAACCAGGACAAGAACCACAATCAAACTAGGATAGATACGAGGATGAGAATGTGGACAAGAGTGTGAACTAAAATGCGAAGGAGAAATAAAACGACAAGGATAACGAGAAGAACGAAAATGAGAACGAGGAGGGAGAAAGAGTGAAACCAGAACGAGAGTGAGAATGAAAACGAGAAACCAAAATGAAAATGAGAATGAGAACGAAAATAAACGCTGGAATACGAATGAGGACTAGAACAAAAAGAACGAGGATATCTTAGGGAAAACGAACTGAATAACTATTAAGAGAACGAATATGAAACTACAAAATCAGAACGAGAACGAAAACGGAAATTAAAACTAACTAGAACGCTAGTAAAAATAAGAAACAAGATGAAATAGAAAGATGATGAGAAGGAAAATGAGAATAAAAATCAGAACAAGAATAAAAACGGAAATCAGCATGAAAATAAAAATAAAAATAAGCAATAGTAACAAATAAAATGAAGATTAAAATGGAATGAAAATGGGGACGACAAATAGAATGTAACGAGCACGGGAAGAAAAGAAGAACCACAACGAGAAGAGCGAAAATGGAACCAAAGAGGGAGAAAGCTTGGAACGAGTACCAAAGCGAGAATGAAAGCAAGAAATCGGAGTCAAAATGGGAATGAAAACAAGAAAGAGAACTAGAAGAACCATAAAAATAACGACAAGAAGAACAAAAATAAAAACAAGAGTGAGAATGAAAACGGGGATAAAAATGAAAATGAGAATAAGAATCAGTAGGCAAATTAAAACTAAGATGCGAACGATAACGAGTAAAAAGATGACAAAAAGGTGAACTACAAGAAAATGAAAAAAGGAACGAAAATGAGAATAAGAATGAAAAGGACGATGAAAATGGGGTTGAAAACGAGAATAACGAGAAAATGACAAGAGGAACGGAAATAAAAACAAAAATGAGGGAGAATAGGAGAAATCAGAATTACAACATGAATGAAAGTGGTAATGAGAACGAAAACAGGATGCGAACAAGAACGAGAACAAAGATGACAGGAAGATGAATTAAAAGAATGACGAGAAGAAGAATGAGAAAGAGAATAAGCGGGAATAACGGAAATCGAAGCCAGAACAAGAACGAAAACAACATTGAGAACGAAAATAACAATGAAAATGAGAACCAGAATCAAACTAGGATAGATACGAGGATGAGAATGTGGAGAAAATGGGGATGACAATGTAGATGACAACAAGAATGTGAACTAAAATGCGAAAGAGGATCAGAATCAGAAGAACAAAAGGAACGACAAAGAGAACGAAAATAAAATGAGAAGGTGAACAAACGTAATTAATTTTTAGTGCTTCACTATGAACAGCTGTGGTAGTAATCAAAACTAAGTACTTGAAAAAAAAACTACTTAAGCAGCTTCATTCTCACCTATGTGGTTTCGAAAAAAAACATTTTATAAAATAATGGTACTAAACGTAACAAGCGATGAATTCAGCGTAACAATTTTGCGCAATTATATAACACACTTGTGTATTATACAACAATTCTAAATAAAATTATACACATGATTGTGGGAGTTATCTCTACTGGAGTGGTTTTATCAGAACAACATGAAAACTAAAATATTATTAAACCTCTATTTCCGTCTCTTTTAATCATATTTAGTGAAATTAAATTCACGTACCAGAACAAAAGTCTTTAGTAAATTTGTAACACCTTGAAAAAAAATAACCATAAACTACTTACACGAAAATATAAAGCGAGCCTCACTAGACTAAACACACAGAAATCAGATACAACTGTATGAATTTTCTTAATAATTACTGTCGCTTTTAGCAACAAATCTACACTGCATTCATTAAAATAAAGTTGCCTCGAGCACTTGCTGCTCTAAAAACGGTAATCAAAAACGGAAACAGCAACAGGCTCACAATTGAGCCTTGTAAAATAGAGTAGGGTATTTATCTTTATTAACGCACCTAATTGACAACCCCTAGTTTTCTGTCTAGTCGATTAATATGCGAACACCCATGTCGATTACGATCAGAGAACAGTTTCATCTTTAAAAATATAAAGCGGCAATTAAAATTTGCACATTCCGGACTCTTTGATGTTGGCGGCGAAAACACAAATAAAATGTTTAAAACGGTTTGAGTTTAGTAGAGTATGTAAAGCTTGGACTATTAAAGCGGCTATTCCTGGAATGTTTAAATAATTCATAGAACAGTGTTGCTAATACCGAACAACATCAAATTATAATTAATCGTTTTTAAATGCACAGGAAAAAGCTAGTTCGACAATATGAGTATAAAAACGATTTTACGGCTTCAATGAAACGCGATACAAAAAAAAAATAAATGTCACTTGTTTTAAAATGACTCAGATTTTAATCAATGTTCTGTAATCCCTAACTAAATTAAATGAACCAGTCTGTAATGTCACGTCTCAGATCATCTGTAAAATTAATGACTGGGTGTATTTTTTTAGACAACGTGTAAAAATAGAAACAATTTGTAAAAACAGCGTGCTGCACATTTAAACCCGATTTAAGTGGCAATCATTTGAAATTTTCAATAAACAAATTTGGATTACGAGGAAAATTAACGACGACGGACAGCCGGAAATGACAGTCGATTTTGGCTAAGAAAACGTGAAAATCCGTTTCTCCGGAAGCCAAGAACTTGGTTTATGCTGTGTTAATTTAGTCTAAACAGTTTCGCATAAACAAAATTTGATGTTAATTTTGTTAACAAAACAAGCTTTTTCGACGCACAACAATCGTAATGCCAGAAAAATTCCAAAAACAAACCAAGATATTTAAAGCCCGGGTATTTTCTCCGACACGATTCAAACACAATAAACCTCCTCTGAACATTTTTTAATCATCGTTCACTTCCACCACACTGCACTTAGTAAGAATATTGTCACTAAAAACGCTAATCACGGCGAAAATAAACAGATAATACTTTATTTAAACTTCACCGACGCAACACCTGTGAAACCTTGGTCGGTCTAAATCTCAAAAGGAACGATTTCGCGACATGCCCACTCAATGACTCATTCATAATCCGAAAAAATCGCGTGGTCGAATCGAATTAAAAACCTCCTCGAATAATGCAAAAATAATCGTCGCATCTCAAATCCAGAAATAAATTTTTAAGCAGCTAACCCGAAACACGTGTACACGTTTCATCCCTAAAAAGGTCAACGAGAAATTAAATCGAGGCACATTTGGGTCGGGCGCAAAGGGCATAAGGAGCCCAGGTACGGCGACCCTTCGACAAATGCCAAGCGACGTCCTATAAATCCGCCCTTGCAGGACACCCCCGTGATCCTCATTAGATTATCTATGGATTCGGGTGATTGAGAGCTTTCGAAGGTTAAGCGGCGAGCTTTCGCCGGGGGGCTGCGTCGATACGGGGCCCGAAAATCGCGAAACCGGTCGATATGCGAGGCCGAAATAATTGAACTTACGCACTCACTAATTCTAGGCTAAAAATAACTCACCACACACGGTTTTCCATCGAGGTGAGGCGGGCTGACGTCTGTGCGATTTTTGATTGAACTCGACGGTTTGATTAATGTTTACGTTTCAATTAGTTATTTTGATTAGACGAGCGCAGGCACTGGTTTCGCTAATGTTATGTAAAGAATTCGAAGAGCACGAGCTCTATCCAGGCAACCAAGTTATCACCCCTGTCCTATTTTATGGCACTGTTAGGCGTTCACCCAAAGCGCAGAGACCTTGCGCAGTGAAGGAGTTGTAAAGCTGTCATAAAATACACTCATCACTTATTTACTCGGCTATTACATATTTAGTGCGACTTTTGGAATATTCAGGGCATTGTGCTGCAGCCCCATCGCTTATTTTATTAATAAACGGGCGCTGCGAGGACCCGGGGCTTGGCGCAAAATTTGAATCGGGCATGGTGGGCACTGCGCAAGGAGCTGCTTTTGAACTGTGCACGCTGAAAATTTTAACGCTGATTAGTTAATTGGACGCTGATGACGTCCGAAGACGGCGCAACCGAAAAGAGAAAATTTCCAAATAAAAAAAATGTTTATCGAAGTGGGGCGACGGTGACGTGGTGTCAATATTGCGAATACGCTCTGGGGACAAGGACGCGGTGATGCAAAAGTGCACATCACGAGACTTCGAAATTCGAATACTTTTTATGGTCGTTTTATTTATTTTAATACCCCTCTATGTTAAAAAAATATTTATAATACTAGTCGTAATGTGAGAAAAAAAGTGAACCATGAGGGGATCGAACCTGCGACCTTCGAGTTATTTTGCGAAAATCAAGATGGCTACGGTAAACAACTAAGGCGGATTCATGAACCACAACTAAATTAAATAACAATCGATCCATAATATTTTTCTGAGACGAAAAATGGAAACGGGAGCCCTACTTCTACATACCCTAGGGATCATCAAACTTCAATTATACCACACTGATAATACCAATGTTAAAGTGACACGCAACTTCAATGAAAAACAACAGTACTGCCACCACAGTAAAAAAAATAATTCCACGGCTGACTAGGCCACTTTTTTTTATTATATGGTATTAAGAGTGTTTAATGCATTCAGTGATTTAAACTGCATAATTCGGTAATATTTTTCAATCATCCTGTATAATTAATTTAAATATATGGATATAGCTGGCGAAATTTACTGAACGAAATTTTGAAATGACGTCATCAAATTTTCGGCAAGGAGCTTATCTTAAAGCTTATCCAAAATTTTAGAGTAAGCGATGGTGTAGTTTTTCCGTAATCCGTAATTATTTTGCATGTTCCAAATAGGATTTTATTTAGCAAAACAGACGAAAACAGAATATCTACTTTTTGATGCTCTAGCAGCTATTAAATGGCGAGAAAACACGAAATCCTAATTAGTACATGTAGCAGTCACTAAATCAAAGCTAGTTCTAGTCAAAATTTCAAGACATTTCCTTATGCAGATTCAAACACTGTTTACAAAATTCATTTTAAATTTTTTTCTATAACCCTTACATCAGATGATCGAAAAAAAGCCTTGTAGTGGGCCATGAATTTTTTTTTTAATACTAATGTTGGCAAACTAGACAAGAAACACGTTGGTAATGCCAATGTCATTATTTAATTTTATTAAACAATTTTATGTTTGTGATGGAAGAAGCGTTCGACGAAATGAGGCTGAAACTAATTTCTGGAAGTCGAAATCCCTTTGAAAATGTCTAGTTAAATTTTGAAAATTGTCGAAAAGTCGTCAAAATTTTTGTTGTATTATATTTTTTTATTGAAAAATTTGTGAAAAAAATCCAAAAATTTCTAGCATATAGATTTGGCCGTGTTGATTTCAAAAACATATTGAGTTTATGCCCTCGGGGTAAGGTTAAAAATTTTCAGTTTAAAAATTGCCTTTTTAAATTAAAAAAAAAATTGTAGTATATTAGTGAGCGTGCCTGAGAAAATCGAAGAAACTAATGAAAAAATAAAACCGATACTAATTTTTGGAGGTCGAAATAAATAAAAAAATGTCTTTATTTCGAAAATTGTCGAAAATTTGCGAAAATTTTATTTTTTTTATTTTGTTTTTGAAAAATTTGCCAAAAAAAAAACAAAAAGTTCTGGCACATAAATTTCGCTGTGCTAATTCCAAAAACGTATGCTATTATAAACTATAAAAATATTCGGTTTGAAAATCAATTTTTTAAAAATCAAAAATTGGAATATTTTAGTGAGCTATTCTGGAAAAGTGGAAGGAGCCATCGAAGAAATAAGGCAAAACAATCTTCTGGAAGCCAAAATTTATAGGAAAATGTTTTTGGTTAAATTTTGAAATCTGTCGAAAATTGACCAAAATTTTTATTTTACTTATTTTTTTTATTGAAAAATTTTATTTTTGAAAAAATTGTAAAAAAAAACAAAAAATTGTAGCATATGGATTTTGCCATGCTCTTTCTTGCACCTTTTACAAGCAGCGGTGCTTGGTACGTTTACACCGCCCGCCATCTTCGATTTGCAGTGCTCATTCCAAAAACATAACCTGTTTATCCTTTAGGGTAAGGTTAAAAGTTTTCGGTTTAAAAATCTATTTTTTATAAATCCAAAAAAGCAGTATTTTAGTGAATGAGTCTGGAAAAATCGAAGAAACCATTGAAAAAATGACACCGAAACTAATTTTTGGAAGTCGAAATAAATGAAAAATTTCGAAAATTGTGGAAAATTGGCCGAAATCTTATTTTTTTTAATTTTGTTTTTGAAAAATAAGCCATAAAAACCAAAATATTCTGAGATATAGATTTCGCTGTGCTAATTCCAAAGACCTATGCCATTTATGCTCTTGAGGTAAGATTTAAAATATTCGGTTTGAAAATTAATTTTTTAAAAATCAAAAATTTTAATATTGTAGTGAGCGATTCTGGAAAAGTGGAACGAGCCATCGAAGAACTTAGGCCAAAACAAACTTCTGGAGGCCGAAATCCATAAAAAAATGTCTTTGATTAATTTTGAAATCTGTCGAAAATTCGCCGAAATTTTTATTTTGCTTACTTTTTTTTTATTTAAAAATTTTGTTTTTGAAAATTTTGACAAAAAAATCCAAAAAATGCTAGCCTATAGATTTCGCCGTGATGATTCCAAAAACTTATCGTGCTTACGTCCTCGGAACAAAGTTAAAAATTTTCAGTTTAAAAATCTACTTTTTTTTTAATTCAAAAAATTGGAAAAATCGAAGAAGCCATTAAAAAATGAGGCCGAAACTAATTTCTCGAAGTCGAAATAAAAAAAAATGTCTTGAGTTAAATTTTGAAAATTGTCGAAATTTGGCTGATTTTTTTTAAATTTATTTTTTGAAAAATCTGCCAAAAAAAAACAAAAAGTTTTTCTATATAGATTTCGCTGTGGTAATTCCAAAAACGTATCCTCTTTGTGCCCTCTGAGTAAGATTAAAAATATTCGGTATGAAAATTAATTTTTTAAAAATCCAAAAATATGAAATATTTTAGTGAGCGATTTTGGAAAAGCCCGAGGACCCATCGAAGATATTAGGCCAAAACAAACTTTTGGAGGTCGAAATCCATAATAAAATGTCTGATTAAATTTGGAAAATTGTTGAAAATCGGCCAAAATTTTTATTTTATTTTTTTACCGAAAACATATCGTGTTTATGTCGTAGGAAAAACGTAAAAATTTTCGGTTTGAAATAAATTTTCTCTTTAGTCTTTAGTTAAATTTTGAAAATTGTCGAAATTTGGCGGAATTTTTTTGAATTTTGTTTTTTAAAAATTTGCAAAAAAATATTAAAATTCTGAAATGTACAACATTATGTGTTATGCTGATTCCAAAAACATATAGTGTTGATACTCTCAGGGTAAGATAAAAAAAATTCGGACTGAAAATATATTTTTTTTAAATCCAAAAAACTGCAATATTTTAGTGAGCTACTCTGACAAATGGAAGGAGTCATAGAAGAACTGAGGCCGAAAATAACTTCTGGAGGTCGAAATCTATAAGAAAATATCTTTACTTAAATTTCGAAAATTGTCCGAAATTTTGTTTCATTTTTTTTGAAAAATTTGGTTTTGATTTGAAAAATTAGCCAAAAAAAAACAAAAAAAATTTGGCAAATAGATTTCGTCGTGCTGATTCCAAAACATATCGTGTTTATGCTCTTGGGGTAATATTAAAAATTTTCATTTCGAAAATAATTTTTTTTTAAATCCTAAAAATTGCAGCCCTTTGGTGAGCGATTGTGGAAAAAGGAACCATATAAGAAATGAAGTCAAACCAACTTATGAAGGTTAAAATCCTTAAGAAAATGTTTCCTTAAGTTTAAGAATTTTGTTTTTGGAAAATTGGCCCAGAAAACCTACAAAAATCTGGACACATACATTTCATCGTGCTGATTCCAAAAACATGTCATGTTTATGCTGTCGGGGTAAGATTAATTTTTCGATTTGAAAATCAATTTTTTAAAAATCCAAAAAAATTGCAATAATTTAGTGAGCGATTCTGGATAAATGGAAAGATCCATAGAAGAAATGAGGCCAAAACTAATTTCTGGAGGTCGAAATCCATAAAAAAATGTCTTTTGTTAAATTTTGAAAATTGTCGAAAATTGGCCCAAATTTTTATTTAATTTTTTTATTGAAACATTTTGTTTTTGGAAAATTTCGCAAAGAAATACGAAAGAATTAGCAAATAGTTTTCGCTGTGCTGATTCCAAAAATATATTGTGTTTATATCCTAAAAAAAAGGTAAAAATTTTCAGTTCTATTTTTCAAAAATCCAAAAAATTGCAGTATTTTATTGAGCGATTTTGGAACAATCGAAGAGGTCATTGAAGAAATGGGACCGAAACTAATTTCTGGAGGTCGAAATCCATAAGAAAGTGTCTTTAGTTAAATTTTGAAAATTGGCCCAATTTTTTTTTTGAAAATTTTGTTTTTGAAAAACTTGTCAAAAAAAACAAAAAATTCTGGACATATACATTTCGTCGTGTTGATTCCAAAAACATATCGTGTTTATGCTCTTGGGGTAAAATTAAAAATTTTAGGGCGTGAAAATAGATTTTTTAAAAATTCAAAAAATTGCAATACTTTAGTGAGCGATTCTGGAAAAATGGAAAGAGCCATCGAAGAAATGAGGCCAAAATTAATTTCTGGAAGTCGAAATCCATAAGAAAATGTCTTTCGTTAAATTTTGAAAATTGTCGCAAATTGGTCCAATTTTTTTTTTATTTTATTTTGTTTTTGGAAAATTTCGCAAAGAAATCCAAAAGAACTAAGCATATAGATTTCGCTGTGATGATTCCAAAAATATATCGTGTTTATATCCTAGAAAAAAGGTAAAAATTTTCGGTTCTATTTTTCAAA